TGGCCCAGAGCCCTTCCCCACGCTGGGCTCGACCCCCGGCGCTGCAGGCCGGCCCTAATCCCTCCCACAGAGACACAACGGCCGTTAGGAGCTGGGCTTCACAGAATCACAGAATCGTAAGGGTTGGAAGGGACCTCAGGAGATCATCTAGTCCAACCCTCCTGCTCAAGCAGGCTCACCTAGAGCATGCTACACAGGACTTCATCCAGGCGGGCTTTGAATATCTCCAGAGAAGGAGACTCCACAACCTCCCTGGGCAGCCTGTTCCAGTGCTCTGCCACCCTCAGAGTGAAGAAGTTCTTCCTCATATTCAACTGAAACCTCTCGTGTTTCAGTTTGCATCCATTGCCCCTAGTCCTGTCGCTGGACACCACTGCAAACAGACTGCTTCCGTCCTCTTGACTTCCGCCCTTAAGATATTTGTATGCGTTGATGAGATCCCCTCTCAGTCTTCTCTTCTTCAGGCTGAACAAGCCCAACTCTCTCAGCCTTTCCTCGTAGGGGAGATGCTCCAGTCCCTTTATCATTCTAGTAGCTCTCCTCTGGACTCTTTCTAGGAGTTCCTCGTCTTTCTTGAACTGGGGAGCCCAGAACTGGACACAGTACTCCAGGTGGGGTCTCACCAGGGCAGAGTAGAGGGGGAGGAGAACCTCCCTCGACCTGCTGGCCACACTCCTCTTAATACACCCCAGGATACCATTGGCCTTCTTGGCAACAAGGGCACATTGCTGGCTCATGGTCAGCTTATTGTCCACCAGGACTCCCAGGTCCCTCTCAGCAGAGGTGGCATTGCTCAAGGAACAACGTCAGGGCCGATCCTGTTCAGCATCAGCATCATCAGTTACCAGCACAAGGGGCGGAAGGCACGTCAGCAAGTCGGCGGGTAATGGTAACCCAGAGGGGGGGGAAGCAGTTCACGGCCTTGATGGCAGGATTAGTCTTCAGAGGTACCCTGGATGAGACAGAGGAACGGGCCAAGAGGAACCTCCTGAAGTTCAGCAAACACAAAGACACTGTCCTGTCCCTGAGCTGGAATAGCCCCCAAGCATCAAGATGGGGTTGTGGACCCACTGGTTGGAGCAGCTCAGCCAAAAAGCATTGGGGTGCTGGCAGGCAAGACGAGGTGGCTTCCCCCAGAGCCCTCCCAATCCAAGGGGTTCTATGATTCCTAATAACTGTATCTCCCAAAGACCAACTTGACTTGGCCCTGGGTTTTTTCATCTTTTTTCACATGTCCCCACCAAAGCATACATAGTCACAGATTTTTGTAAACAGTGATTTCGTAGGTCAGCAACCTCAGTGGAAGAAAATTGTGTGTGTGTGCATGTGCGTCTGTTGGGTACAACTGTCAGCAGCAAAAAACGGAAGATGCAATTTAGCTCCTTTGTGAAGTTGCAGCATTCTGTTGTACTTGGTGCAATTTCCATTAAGAAGATAATGCCAAGCATGCTCCTTTTTACCTTCCTCCTATAGACTGTGAACATCTCTCTGCAACCCTTCCCCTTTCATCTTCTCCCCAGCTTTTACCTCCCTCTGTGTCAAGAGGCAAAGGTCCAACTCTAAGATGGTGCAACTGTGTAACCCTGGCTCAGGCTGCTGAGAAAACAAAGTTGTGGCAAGCGCTGCGCAATGGCGTGTAGGAAGGTGCAGTACAACCGGCAGCAGAGCTAGGCTGTCCCGTCTGGAGTTGCCAGTAGCTCACAGGATCAAAATGATGAATACCAGCACTTTCCTGTATGCCTCCCAAGTGGCCTGACCCTCCTTCCACATTCCATGGAGCTTCCCTCTTCTTGGCTGCACGCTGGAGTCCCCCACTCCCCGTGGCAGAGGTCGGACCCTGGGACAAAGCGGGGACCCTCCAACCCTGAGATGCACCGGCCAGACTCGCACCCCTCCTGCTCCCGGCCTGCAGCACCCGGCCTACCCCCAGGCTGGGAACACCCTTCACCCCCTCACCATAAATGTTTGCCAGATGCCCCCGTACCCTCCCATTTCACAAGAAAAGAAAGAAAAAGCATCACAGGGCCCTTTATTTGTCACGTCAGGAAGAGGCGCGAGACACAAGTGGTTTCAGGTGAAATCACAAGCTCAGGAATGGGAAGGCCACAGGACAGAGGTGCCTCGTTGCAACAGGGACAAACACAAGGTCTGGCCTGGCTCCGTCCCCCCTTGCATCACTCCTGATAATTTCTTTTTGAGCTGGAGACCCACCACAGCTGTGACCGCCGTGGGATCTCTGCCCAGCAGCAGAGCCGGGGTGGGGGCCTTCCACAAGCTCTGCCAAAAGCTGGTGCTCTGGGTGCAGGGTCAGTCCTGCAGCGCCCGTGGGAGCAGAGCAGGATGCTTGTCCCCAAGCTGCTGGGCATGGCTAAGTTTGTCCCTGGGGCTCTAATTGCCCTCTGCTTTGCTCTGCAGCTCGCTGAAGACCTCACTCTGCCGCCTCTTGTCCTTGGCGCGGATGATGGTCATCCTGAAGAGCTTGCAGTAGAGCTCCATGGCGGTGGGGCTGTCGTCGTTCCCGGGGATGGGGTAGGTGATCAAGCAGGGGTTGCAGTTCGTGTCCACCACTCCCACCGTGGGGATGTTCATCTTGGCAGCATCCCGGATGGCCACGTGGGGCTCAAAGACGTTGTTGAGGCTGCTGAGGAAGATGATGAGGTCGGGCAGGCGGACGCCGGACCCGAACTGGATGTGGGCATTGGTGAGCAGGCCGCCCTGCCAGTAGCGGGTGTGGGCGTACTCCCCGCACTCCCGTGCCGTGCTCTCGACCAGGTGGCAGAACTGGCGCTTGCGGCTGATGAAGAGGATGATACCCTTGCGGTAGGCGATGTGGGCGGTGAAGTTGAGGGCCAGCTGGAGGTGCTGCATCGTCTGATCCAAGTCGATGATGTCCTGATCCAGGCGGCAGCCAAAAATGTAAGGCTCCATGAACCTGCAGGGACAGAGGGAGGGCGACACAAAGGGACACGGGGACAGGGTACTACAGGCATCGAGCAGCGCTTCCGAACGCAGCGTGGCCCCACAGAAACCTTCTCGCACCCCAGCTCCCAATGGTACCAGAGGTGCTCTCTGCAGAAGGTCCTTTTGCACAGCCAGGCTCAGGGGGCTGCAGGTCTGACACCCACCCCGCTCCATGCCCACGCTGAGTGGGGCCCCTGTATTTTTGCAGGACCCAGGCAGAAATGCGGGTTTGCGTGGGCAGTTCCAGCCCCAGACTGATCTGGCGCAGCCCCCAAAGCCGATGCGCTCTAGGGAAACGCTCCTGATGTCAGCAAGCGCTGGATCCCAGGATGGGGTCACTCACCTATGCCGACATCCCTTTTTGTGCCCCAAGTGCACCCGGGCATCAAAGAGATCTTTCAGGGAGAAGAGCTCCTTCACGTTGAAGAAGTCGGGGTGGCTGAGCGGCTCGGACAGGAGCTTGTCATCCTCGGCTGAGAAAAGGGAAAAAAAAAAACCAACCCCATCTCTGCTGCCTCTTGCTGTGTTCGCAGGGGACGAGCAGGGACGGGAGGGAGGGCCCGGATGCACCCAGGCGGCAAGGGCCTGGCGGTACCCGCAAGGACACTGCTCAGCGCC